CGGGAATAGTTCCTCACTGTGACTTTACTGGATACCGAACAGGTATGCGATACGTATAGGTAGGTATACCCGGGGATATTCCCATCAAAGTTTGTCTCATATAAGAAATAGGAGTGGAGCTAATTGGTCGGGCCTATAGTACAATGGTAGATGCCTATAAATACATTGATTGTATCTCTAGGTGGAGGATCACCATCACAATTAATTAATAAAAGAATAGTTTTACTCTCGTGGACGTAGGTAAATTTTCGAACCACGTAAATTTTGTCTTCTTTATTTTCTGCCATTATTATTGTTTCTTGTTTTTATTAATCTCAACAAATTGGTATTAAAGAACTATTGGAAAAGTTTGAAAGTAATTGATTTTGGGAAAACCACTAACATATATGTGGAGACCTTCACAACGTATACATGTGCTTAATATAAATAACCTAGATAACTTAGAAAATATTTTTTCCTACATTTGTAGTTTAGTCGGTACTCAAGTGATATATTATGGGCAATACAGTCGGTACTGAAGTGGTATATGTTTAACAATTACCAAGAGCAATCTAATGTTAGAGAACGAAGCATGGGCTCAAAGAAATAAGGTTATTGTAGAGAAAAAGAGAGGAGATCAGAGAGGAGAACATGGGAAAATGGGGAAGCGAATGAAAGTTGCGAAGGGAAAAAGCTAAGGAAAAAAAAAAAAAAGGAATGACATGACAACAACTTTACCCTCGTCAAATAGTAAAGAATTTATCTTCTAGCTAGATTTAGCCTAAGAAGTAGACGAAATGAACTAAATTGCTACTAAAATGATAGTTATGCACTAAATTTAAAATTTTTAATAGTTAAGAACTAAATGTGATATGATTATAATAGTTGTGAGGCCAAAATTATAATATTTTCATTAGGTACGGGTAATAAATTTGAAGTGTTGTATAAGTTTTGTCAATTTTGATTTAGTGTTAGCCAATTTCAATTGTCGTATAGATAACCTAGTTTGCATTGTAAGAATGGTTATCATTGACCCTTTAGTGTAATTTGCATAAGATTGGTCTTCTTAATTAAGCGGTCTTTGATGGAAAAATTTCAATATCATTCATGAACATGACTATTTTAACATGAAGATATTTTCACATTTCGAGACTCAAAGTTATCTTTGGTTCCCTGAATATAAGGATCTAAGAAAAATTTCGATGGCTGTAATAGCAAAGATGGAGATGTATGATGCCTATAACGATGAATAGAGAGAACTCTAATGAGTGTAATAGCGGAGTGAGAGAGAGGTTTGGTCATTGTAATGATGGAGAGTGAGGAAAGCATAAATTAACTCTTGTTTTCAATTATTTTTTTTTAAGAACTCTTGTTTTCATTTATGTAATTTAGATATACAAAACTTATCTCTAGTGAATTTAGAAAGCATATTGTTTACTTGTGTGAATGGTAGAAATCCATACTTTTGTTGTATTGTACAGAATATATATTAGTTCTAAAAAAAAGTATACAACAATATGCTTTCTAAATTCTTCTTTTGCTAAAACAGTTGCTTTGTTGTATTATCTTGCTAAAAAATAATTGTTTAGAATGAACAAATTATTTTTAATAAAAATAATTCTTATTTTTTAAATATAACTCTAGGCGTCTTTACTAGGCTATTAAAGACGCATATGTATATATATACACACACAATAATTGTCAATTTTCTTTTCCGCACATCTTGGCTAATACAAACGCGTAAAGTGGACACTTCTTGCATATGCGCCATACACGTCTGGATCAATAAAAATGCTTATTATCATTTATTAAAGATGCAAATGACTCATTTTGTAGGAGTGTAATGAGATGGGGAATTGAAGAATGGGAAGCCAATGGGATGATGGGGTGAAGAAGGAAGTGGTGGCCGGTAGGGTGATGGGTGGCGAAGAAGTTAGTGGGTATTCAAATAGAGTGGTCTTTAATTGTTCCCAAGCAATTTTGAAATTCAAATTGCCATAGGGTTGTGAGTTTCATCCTTGCTACTTATTTCTGCAATCGTTATGCCATGGAACCGTGTTCACCATTTATGGTGAACACGATTCCAACGGTATTAGTACACCGTTATTTTTTTTTTCTTTTCTTTTTCTTAATTAATTGTGTGACTTTTCTTCTTCATTTTCACATTTCGCGGTTTTCCTTTAATTTGAGGTGAGCAATGATTTCGGACATTCATAAATTATGAATTCATGCCTGCACATTCACTTTGGAACCATACCTACACATTCCCGTCCGAAATCACGGACATTCATAAATTATGAATCCATGCCTGCACATTCACTTTGGAACCATGCCTACACATTCACTTTGGAACCATGAGATTATGAATTTTCTGTTATAAGATTATGAATTTTCAGTTATGAGATTATGAATTTTCAGTTATGAGATTATGAATTTTCTATTATGAGATTATGAATTTTCTGTTATGAAATTATGAATTTTCTATTATGAGATATGAATCTACATTACATTCATAATCTCATAACAGAAAATTCATAATCTCATAACTGAAAATTCATAATTTAATAAATATTTTACTTTTATGCGATTATGAATTTTCTGTTATGAGATTATGAATTTTCATTACATTCATAATCTCATAACAGAAAATTCATAATTTGATCAAACGCGCGCCGTTAACTCTACATCCGTGATTTTTTTTATTTTTATTTTTTTTTGGTTTTTTTTTTGGTTTTTTTTTTTGGTTTTTTTTTTTTTGCGTAAAAATGACGTCGTTTGGACTTGTGTTAACCATTTACGGTGAATACATTTCCAGGGCATAATTTGCCTTATTTCTGTTATCCTAGACTAGATGATGATAAGAAGTGGGGACTTGTGATGGGCTTGGGTCAAGGCCCAAAATGGTTGGGGTGGGTTGGAATTTGGGTTAATTAGTGAAGTAGGAGAATTTTTGGGATGGGTTGATGAAAATGGGCTTGGGGGTTGGTTGTCAAATAATGAGAAAATTGGAGAATGGAAATGAAGGGCGGACACGGGGGGGGGGGGGGGGGGGGGGGTACTTCCCTCCCCCTCCCCACCTGGCCAAGGTGGCGGGTGGTTGTCGATGGCCATTGAGTTTTGTGCCTGGTTGTGATGGGGATTGTGGGTGTTTTAGCGAGCTTGGCAACTTGTTCTAGCATCATCAACTCATATCTACAACACTAGTGTAATGGTGGCTTGTTTTACCCCCCTATTTGGAAAGGTGGCTTAGTAGGGGCAAATTATGTTGTGTAAAAATGACGTTGTTTTGACTAAAAATGTGCGTACTACTTAAAAGAAATTCAGTTTCGATTCCCAGCAACAATATTATGTTGTTCATTCATTTTACATTTTTAGTTCATTCATTTTGGATTTTTAGTTATGAAATTATGTATGTGTAGTTATGCAATTTTGGGTTTATAATTATGAAGTTATGAATTTGTAATTATGCATGATGTAGTTATGCAATTCTGGATTTATAGTTATGAAGTTATGGATGTATAGTTATAAAGTTATGGATGTGCAGTTATGCAATTGGATTTATAGTTATGAAGTTATGGATGTGTAGTTATGCAATTCTGGATGTATAGTTATGAAGTTATAGATGTGTAGTTATGCATGCAATTCTGGATTTATAGTTATGAAGTATGGATGTATAGTTATGCAATTCTGAATGTATAGTTATGAAGTTATGGATGCGTAGTTATGCAATTCTAAATGTATAGTTATGAAGTTATGATTTTTTTTAAGTCGACGTCAAAACGACGTCGTTTTTGTATCCGTGTGCACCATGCATGATGCACACGGATGCACAGCATAAGCTCCCTTAGTAGGGCAATAATCCAAATGGGCTTGTGATTTGGGCTAATCTAATTGTTTATTTTTTTTTATTATTTGTAGCAATTTATATCCTACACCACGGTGCACGTTGCACTATGCGCCCAGATGCAAAACGACGTCGTTTTAATTATTTTTTTTTTTGAAATTTCCCGCCCCAGTGAATGGCAGTAGTTTTTTCTTAAAAAAAAAAACCCGCTGTTCAAGAATGTACATAATGTTATACTAGAATACACATAATGTTATACATGAATGTACATAATTATATAACAAAATATACATACTCTTTTTAAAAGATAATACACATAATCTAACATAATACATAATAAACATAAACTTTTAACATAATACACATCAACTCTTAACATAATACACACAAATTTCCTGATTCAGATGTACATAATTGTATAAAAAGAATGTACATAATTGTATAAAAAATACACATAACTGTATGAACCAATACACATAACGTTGTGAACAAATACACATAATCTCAGCAACTTCCTACCGCGCCTCCCAACACTACCCCAAAACGACGTCGTTTTGGGAGGCGCGCGGCGCACAGTGCTATGTGCACCGTGGTGTAGGATATAACGATTGGTAGCTTGATTGTGGCGTTTTAAGGATGCAAGACTTTGTTAGTTGTTAATATTACATGTTATTCTCACGCATTATTCAGATTATGGTGGGATGTTCGTTAAAAACCATCAATCTCCGACCTATTTACTCCACTATTGATAATTATATCATCACTTACTATTTACATTTGGGTTTTTATATGAAAAATAATTAAAATTTAAATTATTCTTGGTTTCAATAATTACAAAATAATTGTATTTAACCATGTGTTGTAGTTTTCTAACCAAAAGTAAAAAACTCAAAATATTAAAAAAAAAAAATCTGAAATTGAAAAATAAAAAGTGGAAAATTATAACTAAACAGGCATGATGGATCCTGGACCACACCAATTACCATTATTTGACACTTAACACGTTTTCTTGTAGACTAGTAGCTACAGCCTACAAGTTAGTGAGTTGGACGGTAATTTCGAGAACATAACGGGGCAAATATCAGGGGTCTGAATAACATATCCATTAAATACAGGGGGGGAAACTGAAAGTTTCTCGGTTTTTCGCATTGTCAAATACCAAAAACCTGGGAGCTCCGTCTCTCTCAATCTCTGGACTCTAGAGTCGAGACTAGTCTCAACCTTTCTTCCACTGTTCCAATGGCTTCCTTCAAATGGCTTCTCTTCACTTTACATTTGCTCATAATTTTCACGGAAATCGCTTCCGACGGACTTCCCGATCCCGGAAATGGCCGGAACACTCACGCCGTTTCGGCTTCTGAGGTCGCCTCTGATCCATCTCTGTTGCTCGAACTCGATCAACTCAAGTCAAAGATTTCTCTTTTAGGTTCCTCTCCCTCTCAACCGAAAAAATCGGATTATTAATATTATTATTTAAAGTTTCGTCCGTTACCCTATCTGTTAATAGGAATTGAAAATTGATTAATTGTTGTACTTATATAATTCTATGTTTTGAAATAATCCATTGATATATAATTTAATTCCAATGATTGGATTCTTGAGTACTCTATTTGTTATTTCTGTTGATGCTGATACCAGAATTAATATTTTTATTTATTTATTTTTGGATTTGTTTCTAATTGAATAAAATTTGTAACTTTTCTGCAAAAGAATCAAGCATTAGTGAAAGAGTGGATAAACTAAGAGCCAAGGATGAGAAAGTTGAGGAGTTAGAGAAGATTCTGGCATCAAAATCAGCTGCATTAGAGTCATTGCAAACTCAATTTCAGTTGATCCAGGTTTGCTTTGGCTTGGAAGTCTTAATTGCTGTTAGCTTTATATTCTAACTAAATTAATATAAAGTATGAATATACATATGAACTGTATGATTATGTCTAAAGTAAAATTGTATGCTTATGAACTGTATGATTATGCCTAAAGTATAATTATATGCTTATGAATTGTGTGATTATATCTAATTATGTGTAGTCATATGATTATGAGTTGTATGGTTATGTCTTTTGAAGTCAGAGAGTGGAGAAAACACTAAACTTGAAGAGAGAAAGGTTGTGAGATTGTAAGCCATATGCATTTTGTTGTATCGGAGTATGTAGAACATATTTGAAGTAATGTTGGCTATACAATGGGCTTGTGTGTTATGGTCTACTTCACAGGTTGAAGAAGGAATGGCAAGAAGTGTTCTACCACACTTGAAAGGCTTGGTTGCTTGTGACCCTAAAGTTCAAAACTCCCTTAGTTCCCTTTTGGGATTTAAAATTCTCCTCATTAATCCAATGGATTCTCCCTTTATATAATAGAGAAAATACAAGACTCCAATAACTAATAATTACTTTAAGACTAGATAACTAGTACAAAGACTTCTAACTGAGTTAAATAACTGGAACACCTGAAACACCAGACCACTAAATATTGAGCAATTTAATCTAACTAAAAATCTGATTTAACAAATAAAAATGTTACTGCCTTCCTGCATAATATCCACATCCCCAGCTTGCATCACTGTTTGATTTGAGGCAATGTGCAACACTGCTTGAGCATCACATATTCACATATCAGTTACATTTGTGTTGTTATCATGAATTCATGATGTGCTTTAGCGATATGAGCTCACATGTTGCTAAAGCCATGGCTCGGTATTCAACTTCTTTACTGGATTTGGCAACATCATTTTGCTTTTGTTCTTTCAAGATATTAGGTTACCACTGACTAGAACATAGTATCTATATGTAGAGTATTTTTCATACTCTGCATCAGAATTTTCAATTGCCTAAGTATGACCTTTATCTTCATATATAACAATCACTGTGTTCTTTTAATATACTAATACTATAGGGTATGAATGACAGCATCCCAATGACTATCACAAGGAGATTGAAAAAATTGGCTAATTGCACTGACTGCAAATGAGATATTTGCTTGATTGTGTGTTTGTTTAGTTTTCCAACCAAGAAAATGAGGGTATTTTCCTTTGACCAAACACTCATTTTCCTTTGACTCACATTTTCCACTTTTTACCAAACACTGAAAACCCTCCAAACACACCCTTAGGGGCCGTTTGGTTCACGGAATGTTAGATTGCTGGGAATGTTAGATTACTAGGAATGTTAGATTACATGATTTTAAAGTATTAACTAAAATCTTGAACTTGAGAAACAAAATTATTTTATAAGCTAACATGACGTAATAAAAATAAATATATATAATTACAAAAATAATTAAGGGGAAATTGCATCTTTGGTCCCTGAGTTATACCCAAGTTCCGATTCAGTCCCTGAGTTAGGACTGTATGCATATTTAGTCCCTCAGTTATGAACAAAGTGGCGTATTTGGTCCTCGGCCGTTAAAAGTGACGGAAAATTTTAAAAAAATTTAAAATTTGACGGGTAAAGTAGGAAATTCACATTTTATTCTCCTTCTTATATCAAAACCACTTTCACAACATTATTTTTCACTTCTTAGCCTCTTATTTCATGATTGTTCAATTTTAAAAGCATTTCAATAACTTTAGTATGACTTGTTAGGAACCTAGCTCTCGTATAACAAACTTAAGACTTAGCACAAAAATAAAGAAACATTTGATCATTGTCTTCAGACGTGTGAAACACACTATCCTATCAATTTTCAATTTTCCTTACTAAGAAACAAATGTAATCAAATCAGAACTTTTGAGATACAAAATGATGTCAAATTTCTCAGGTTGCTTTTATGAGAAATTCACCAACTGAATAACTTGAGATTTTTAGTATGTAACATTTTTTCGTATAGTGTGTTTCTTTATTTGTGCTAAGTCTTAAGTTTGTTATACGAGAGCTAGGTTCCTAACAAGTCATACTAAAGTTATTGAAATGCTTTTAAAATTGAACAATCATGAAATAAGAGGCTAAGAAGTGAAAAATAATGTTGTGAAAGTGGTTTTGATATAAGAAGGAGAATAAAATGTGAATTTCCTACTTTACCCGTCAAATTTTAAAATTTTTAAAATTTTTCCGTCACTTTTAACGGCCGAGGACCAAATACGCCACTTTGTTCATAACTGAGGGACTAAATATGAATACAGTCATAACTCAGGGACTGAATCGGAACTTGGGTATAACTCAGGGACCAAAGATGCAATTTTTCCAATAATTAAATAATATATATATATATATATATATATATATATATATATATATATATATATATATATATATATATATATATATATATATATAAGTTAATACCCAAAATAGTCCCTCGACTATGTCGTAATTACCAATTTGGTCCTTAACTATCATTCTTACCCAATTAAGTCCTCAACTATACAATTTTTACCCAATTTAGTCCTTTGTCAATTTGACTGTTTGTTGACTGTCAAAAGTGAAAATAAAGTTGTAATTTTACAAGTTTCTCCTTCCTCCTCATTTAGCAGCGCCAAACCATGTAGCAATAAGCTCCGGTTGGGTTCTAAACCTGTCAGTATCGAAGTAGTAGTTATGCATTGGATAGCCCATGAATTTGATTTCCAATGATTTTGACGATCGAAATCTGATCGGAGTGTATTGCTGCATGGTTTGGCGCCTCTAAATGGAGAGGAAGGAGAAATCTTGTAAAATTATAATTTTATCCCGACTTTTGACAGTCAACAAACAGTCAAATTAATATATAGGACTAAATTGGGTAAGAATTGTATAGTTGAGGACTAAATTGGGTAAGAATTGTATAGTTGAGGACTTAATTGAGTAAAAGTTACATAGTTGAGGACTTAATTGGGTAAGAATGGTAGTTGAGGACCAAATTGGTAATTATGGCATAGTCGAGGGACCATTTTGGGTATTAACTATATATATATATATATATATATATATATATATATATATATATATATATATATATATATATATATATATATATATATATATATATATATATATATATTAATAATTAGAATTGAAATGGCAAAATTTATAAATATCCAAGGTAATCTTTAGATAACCTAAGAAAGGTAAGGGAATCACATTCCCTTCAAAATCCTATGTGGAGGTTATGTTCCATTCCTTGGGAATGTTATATTCCCTAAGATAACATGAACCAAACATAGGAATGTAAGCTTTGGAATGTCACGTTCCCTTGGTTATATTGTATAACTTGAACCAAACACCCCCCGTGATTGGCCTCACCACAAATCATGCCAAACTTTTGAACCACTGAGCTGAATTATCCAAAGTGAGCCATGATGACTCTTTTAGGTCATAAAGAGTGGCAAAGTTTGCATATTAAGCAAACTCCCCTTCTGTACTAAAGCTTGATGGTTACTCTTTATAGACCTCCTCTTGTAGGTTTTTGTGAAGAAAATTGTTCTTAATATCTAACTGATTGAGTGGCCAATGACTCATAGCAATAATGGATCACAATAAGTAGATAACAATAAAAGGTGACGTTGTAGTCCAAACAGAAATTCTGAGTATATCCCTTTTCAATGATTTGGGCCTTGAGACAACCAATCCTAGCATTAGTTCCAACTTTCATGTTAAATATCCATTTGCAACCAATAGTTCATTTACTTTGGGGGAGAGAAACCAGTTCCTAAATGCCATTAGAATGCAAAGAATCCTTTTTATAAGTCATTGCTTGGCTCCACCCTGAGTCTAAAAGTGCCTCACGGGCAATTTTAGGAATAGAGACAGAAAATAAATGTGACACAGAAGCATAATATGGCAAAGATAGGAGGTGATAGTGTAGAAAAGTGCGCACAGACACATGCATATACTTAAACAGACATATATATGGACAAAAGTCTGATTGGAGAGGCGGCATGTGAGGGCATGTCAAAGGAGGTTTGTTGGTGGTGCTTCTGGCCTGAGGTTGTGATGATGTTTTGAGCTTGGTGGTAGGTAGTTTGCTAACTTGCCCGCTGGAATATGACAGAACAAGAGGATGTTATGTGGGTCACCCAAAAAAAAGTTGTACGTAACCCACCTACATCTTTATGTATATAAATAGGGCATGTAGATATGTTTTCTACACATAAAATTATATAGAAAAACCACTTTCAACGAAATAAATAAATAAGCTGTCTGAAAAACATAAAAACTGATGAAAAAAAAAAGAATTTTTGTGTTTCCTGCAACCTTGCTCTGATAACATGTGAAATTAGAGAGGGGAGAAAACACTACTAATGAGAAGAAAAAGTTGTGAGTGTCTAGGCCCTATGTGCTTCATTATATAGGAGTATATACAGAGTATTTGAAGTACTATGGGCTATACAATGGTCCTGTACAACTCGGGCAATGTACAGTAGGGTTTTCTATTTTTCAAGGTGTCTAAAGTATAATTTGTATGTTTACAAACTGCATAATTATGTATTTTTTAGGCCAGAAGATGTTATAAATTTATTGTATGTTCTTCTCTCCTAAGAAGATATAATGCTTAAGAACTATATAATTATGTGTTCTTCAGGCCAGAAGATTTTTAAAAAATTCACAGTTTGTTTCTCCTAAGATATGCTTTATGCTATGTTGTTTAGGCTATAAGATGTTAAAAGTGTTTTGGACCTTTTATTTGAAAGGAGAACTTTCTGTTGATTTTGAACATCAAAAGTGCACGTTTTATGTTCACTTTTCTCTAGAGCTTTTTATTCTAAAGGTTAGGTGAGCTTACACCATCTAATCCCATGAATGGAGTAACACCTAGAAGTAATATATTTTCCTGTTTAATAGGAGCAAAGGTCCTTAAATGCAGAGGAGCTGGTTGGTAAGGCTAATGCTCGTGCTGATGAACTTGAGAAGCAGGTTAATTATATTAAAGTTTGCTTCTTGGAGGAATTATAGTCCAATGTTTGTATTCTCTAATTGTATTTTTACTTGCATGCAGATAGATATTCTGAAAAAGGATATAGAAGCACAAAACAAACAAAAAGATAATCTTGTTGGTCGTGCAAATGAAGCAGAGGAGAAAATTCAGGAATTGAATCTAAAACTTGAAAATGTATGTTGGAGCATTGTTACTTGTTTCTGCATAACTTATTCAATTGTTGAATGATGCTGGATTCTTTTGTTATTAACAATTGGTATTATTGCACTCAAAAAAACAATTGGTATTATTTGTTCTCTCTTAAACCATTTCCCTTTTCCCTTATTGGGGGCATATCTGATGATTTCATTTTTGTTTTAGCTACAAAGGATAAATGAAGAACAGAAATCAAGGATCCGTAAAACTGAACGTGCTCTTCGAGTGGCAGAGGTCTATTATAACTTACTTTATACAGACTAGTATTTTTTAAGGCGGGCTTTCATTTGATGAATGCTAATACTCAAGTGACTGCAGGAAGAAATGGTGAAAGCTAAAATGGAGGCTTCTTCTATCTCTAAGCAGCTCCAGGAGGTAATTTGAGTTTTTTTTTTTTTTTTTTTTTTTTTTAATTGATTTCAGTCATTGATTTTGTTATATTATATTATTACTATCTCTACACTGTATCTTGTTTGCTACACGTTGTTACGGTGGTCTAATGTGCTGACATAGTTAAAACTTACCTATGTTTGCCCTTGTATGTGGCTTTATTCATGTTCAATTTTATTGCCTGATCAGTGTACTTGATAATCTTGTTCGATCCATAAGATTTGGTAAGGTGAAGAATTGAGCTTGTTGTACGCTCTTACAGCATGTTTGGTTCATGAAACCAGAATAGAGGGAATAGGTATAGGATTTGATAAGGAATGGAATAGAGAATGAATAAAGAAGGATTACTGTTTCATTGTTTAGTTCATAAAAAAGAAGACATTATAAACAATATTTCATAATTTGGCTTACTTAAGGAATGGAAAAGGAATAGATATTAACATGACCCATGGAGTCCTATTCTATTTCATGCCTGTTCTGTGAACCAACTATGTTGTTAGTGCTCTTAATATTTTCTAATATGCTTTCTAGTGTGTTAGTGCGTACCTATAGTTGACTTCATGCACTTATTTATTTCATTTACTCCTTTTGCAAGTCATTTCTTGTGTCCTCGTTTCCTTTGATTGTTAAGTTTTTGTTGCGGTTTGGCTCAGGATCAGGGTACGGTGGTTATTAGGTTGGACTTAACTTGATGACGGAGGGGTAGAAGCTATGAATGTGAATATGGATATGGGATGCTTTGTTGGACATGAGTATTGTTTCAGACACAAGGATATATAACTTTTTTGTCATTATTATTGTGAGTAGTATTAGTATTACAACAATCTACTACTACTATCACTACTATTACTACTAGGAAAAAAGTGTCAAATTAGTCTCCCCTAAGTGCGCAATTAAGTTCCCAAACTGAAAAAGGTTCCAATGAGGTATTTTAAATCAAGAAAATAGAGCAGTTGGGTCCTAACATTACCTATTCTACAAGTTCTCACTGATGTGGTGTTGACTGTTGACTATGCTTCCATGTGTACTTATATCATGATGGTATTTTGTGTCATTCCCCCCTCCTTTCCATGTCCAAACATTTTTTTTGGAATTTCCCATTTAGCAAAAAACCCCCACCCTTGGTTCATTCTTCAGCTAATAAATAGATGCTCTATCGATGATGGAATTTCTATTCTGTTATCGAATCACATGCATCTTTGAACACAAAACTAAAAAAGAACTTAAAATACCAGAGATGGACAGCTGATAGTCGTGGTTGTCTCGGTCTAGTAGCATCGTAGCCATGGTTGTGTTAAAAAACCTTCAATTTTTTAAAGACAACCATGGCTGTCATGTTTAGGTTTGACTGGCTGTCTTTTTCAACAACAGACAGTGGCTGTTTTTGAAAAAAAATCAAAAATTAAAAATTAAAAGAATAATAAACGATACACTTAGGATTCATGTAAGCATTAGAATGCCATGTGTTAGCCTAGTTAGAGCCACATCAGCGGTAACCTACTAAATAGTTAACATTAGAATCCAAGTGCACTGTTTTGCTGGTTTATGGTACCTCTTGGAGGGTTGTTTTTGTGTGTGTGTGTGTTTTTTTTTTTTGTTTTTTTTTTTTTTTGTTTTTTTTTTTTTTAAATTATTATTATTATGCAAGCATCTACCGCAAGAAAACATACTTCTGAAAAAGACCCCCAAAGAAAATACATTAATGATTGGAACTTATCTCAAATTCAGTTTAGGATGTATCTATAGTTATTTTATTGGCAAAAATAGCTTATGATGAGTTGAGGACATTGACTTGAGTACATCCTGCTATGCCAGATTCATAAAGGATGGCTTCCACGTTGGCTTACTGTTCATGTTGTTCATTGTCAGGTAATTTTTGCTTTTGTTTAGCCAAAATTTTGCATAATATAAAAAATATTTCTGCCAATTTCTTTGGCTGTTTTTAATTGTACAGTCAATTATTGTGACTCACTGGAATGAGCATGGAAGACCTGCATTGAATCGGAGCATGAAAAAGGTTCTGTACTGTCTACCACTCATCATAAATGCTTAATCATTTTTAACCTCAAATTATGATTTGTGTTTTATGTTCTTTAGTCCTTTAGAATGGATCTCTTTTAAGCTATAAATATTTTACTTTGTGCAATTCCTCTTTAGGCCCTAGAAAAGAAATCTGAGCTAGAAACGTGGGTGAAGCCTCATATTCACACATTTCAAACAGTAAGTGATCTCCTGAAGTTATTTTCCTTTCAAAGACAAAATTGTTACTTCTTTTGTTTCATCTTATGTTCTTGTGCCTTTGTGTGTGTATTTATAGTCTTTGCCACTTAAAAAAAAATATAATTATTGGGAGATTAATAGTACTCTGTGTCCCAATACACTATCATCCTTTCCTACTCTCAAACAGTGTCTTCAAAATACCATCAGACTTCAGACATATTCCTGAATACATAGTGATGAAGAATAACTGGTTAGCTGGTATCTTTGCTCTTGCGTCCTTGACTACTTCCAAACTGTCTCTTCAAAATACCATCTTTCAGACTTCTGTCATGTTCCTTTAAGGAATAATAAAAAAGTAATATGACATGGATGGTGATGATTTATTGGCCAGATCATTATGGCTCTAGTATCTCAAATATGGATACTATCAATTACCTAAAAAACCAAGAACAGGGTGGATAATATCAAAAGAGGATAACAACTTTAAAAAAAAAAAAAAAAAAGAAGAAGAGGGAGATGTGATGCCTTCAAATTATTTAACACCAGAACCTTTTTTTAACCAGCAAAAGAAGATGGAGGAAGAAGGAATGGACTGATAGACTCAAAGTGTAGTTGGCTACTTGGATAGTAATCTGCAGAAAACAAATATCAAAGTGAAAAACAACAAATTTAAGCTGAGTTATTGTTAATTTCTAGTTTAAGGAATAAACCTGCTTGTAGGATTCAATAATTTATAGTGTATTTGCTGACAGTTTTTATTAAAATTCAATTTTTATCCTTTGTTTCACGAATTTAATTGAGTAGAAAGTTCTCTTTCTATTTGTATGCACATATTTTGACCAAAAAGGGGCATGCCCTATTTGTCAACCTAGTTTATCTGAATTACTATTTTTATATATTTATGTCATAAATATCCTTATCATATTGACATATTGGTCAATTACTCTTTACTGAGGCTGAAGCCAATTATCTTGATCAATTTTCAAAATTTTTGTACAGTTAGATTTCTAAATATTTGTTCAGATTTTGAAGAATTGATTCTTATATTGTGAAAATTAATACACTGAAATGCTACTTTGGATATTTAATGCTTCAATATTCAGCCCTTATTGCATAATACTTTTTCAGTTTGCTTTCTAATTCAAACTCCATTCACTTGAAGGAATGGATTCCAATGATGAAAGAGCACTGCCGAGAAATTGCAAGGAATATTGAACCACAACTAAACATACTTTCTACAAAGACTATCGACTTTTATCATGCATCCAAGAACTATATGGAACCTCATATTGTGAGAGCACAGGAGTTTTTGATTCCTTACTATGAGGTAAATCTTGCATAGACTTCTTTTCTCATCATTTTATAAATTCCTTGCTTAGCATGTGGTCAGTTTCAGCACTACCTGTTGACAGGATGCTAAGAAGTTCACAGAGCCTTGTATTGATCATATTGCATTCATAATGAAGCCTCATGTGGATAAGGCGACTGCATTCTTGAAGCCTTATTCAAAGAAAGCAATTCGTCATTATAGAAAGTTCATGAAATCTGCTCGGTTATACCATCAACAGGTATGATCTACCATCCTCGTTTTACCTATATTTTATCTGCATGTTTTACACCACATATTTGTTGCATCCATTTTCCTACCTATACTTTCTATTTTCTACAATGTACTATTTTTCCTTGCCCATATATATTTGCTTGATTGCTTCCTTCTCCATATGCATTTGGTAAAGTTTTTTGAACCTGGGTTTTCCTAGTCCATGTCACAGCGCAGCAACCTTTTACTTTGGAATTTGTATGAAAAAATGGGGAAAATTGAACTGATGTTTATTATTATGATGATTACTGTGTTATATTTCAAATTTAATGAAGTTCTACAATTTTGTGGATTGAAACTCGTCATTTTTCAATTTCTGTGTGGGGAAGGGATGGGTGGGATCCACACAATGAAAGATATTGACTGGAAGAGAGCATAAGCAATTGCTCTATTCTGGATTCATTGAAAATTGAATAATTCAATGGTAAACGTTGGTAGTTTAATTATTGTTTTGGTAAACGTTGGAGGGCCTATTTGACCCTTATTGCCCATTTTTAATGCATTGCACATTTTTTTGTGCAATTGCTTATCAAAGCTGTCACCAGTTGACTTTTTTGAGTATTTAATTTATTCTTTGGTCTTGTGTGGTGCTATATTCTGACGATTTTCATATGAATCTTTATCACTTTTGTTCCTGAAGGTCCAAACTACAATTCATGATAAGCTAAAGAATAATGAGTATACTGAACCTTTTGCAAGCAAGGAGTTGGCCTGGCTTATGGTATGTTGGTGAAATAATAATAATAAATTTTCTTCCATCTATTTCTTATGACATAGTCATTTCGCTTTGTTGTGTTACTTATATCATTTTATTGTACTAGGCATCTGCTTTAGTGAGTCTCCCCGTACTCTTTCTTCTTAACATGTCTTCAGCCTTTTTCCGGTTAGTGCCCAAATTGGATTTGATTTGATAATGTAGATTTAACTAGGATCTTGTCTTAATTCACATTATGATTTTGCAGTAAGGCACCAAAAAAGCGGTCACGAAGTCACCATAAAAGCCACACCCATCGAAGAGCAAAAAGAGTACATCAAGAAAAGTGAAGCATTACACCAGAGTTTAAGAGATTCATATTTTGTGTTAGAAGGTAAACTTTAGCTTTCTCTGTGATGATAATCTGTCTTCTACTGTAATTTGTAACTCTGCTTGCTTGATTTAATTCCCACTCCCAACCCAAGTAAAAAGAAAAGAAATGAAAGGAAAGTGAAATTTCCATATAAAAAGGGAATATAAGAGCTGGATTTATTTCTTTTTAGCTGTGAAGAGGCTATTTAATGTAGAACCATCCATTTGAAGCTTTATTTATATCTTAATTTCATACGCACAATTTGACAGTAGAGGAAATTCAATGAATTAATGTTGGTATCGAGGAATGTATCAGTTAGGATAGTTATTTGGCATGAGTACTGTACAAAGTTGTAAAAAAGCAGGGGAAATAACTAAATAAGTACGCCATTTCAATGTATTTGGATTTTAGGTTTGGTGTAACTTTAATGGGCAGCTGAATAGTGAAAATATATGCTGACACCACTAGCATTAATATTCTTGAAAGGGTAGGGTACTCTTGTATGCAGTATGCTGGCTATCACTCAAGAATTTCATAATGTTATGTGAAAGAATAATGGAATATTATCTGACATCATATTTGAATGAACATGTACAGTATATATACACCAAGGTAAATACAGGCTAGGCCAATTTTCTCATAGGGCTACACTAGTACATTCCACACATAACAAAGGTGAAAGAGAGGTTATTGAGAAATTCATTTAAAATTGTAATTTATGCCCCTCCATAATATGCCTTATCAATGTTCACTCCTGAATTATTAGTGGTGTCAATGTTGCTCTTCAATTTTCAAGACGGCACATATATTGCCCCTCCCGTACTATACGGGAGGAAAATTGAGGGGCAACATTTACACTACGGGAGGGGCAATATATGTACCGTTGGGCAACATTTACATCACTAATAATTCAGGAGTGACATTGATAATTGACATATTATGGAAGGGCATAAATTACAATTTTCCCTTTAAACAAATGGAAAGAAGAATTCTTTGAGAGATCATTCTCCTGGAGTTTATGAAGACTTGTTAATGTACTAGACTTATTGGAGTGATATTAATGTTGAAATGTGAGATTAGAATGCTTCTCTAATTGTTGATTACTTATTAGAGTGATACTGATCTTGTACCAACTTTATTGGTGATTTTTGCAATCAAAATTCATTTTACATTTTGGGCTGTGCAGGTTAATTTCCTGATTGAAGGCACGAAGGCTTGCTCAAGGGCAGTTTTTGCAGGAAATAGGGGGGTATATTATAGTGAGAAACGAACTTCAATTTTATGGTTTCATTCGCAATTTTCTCACTGCTCTCATTGTATTACTTGTGTCTGTTAAATTAGAATCACAACGTAGAGAAAGATAGTGGCGAACTGGCAGTCTTTTTGCTGAACTAATAGTCTAATACCTGTTTGGAATGGTTTTGCTTTCTCGTAGTGTTTTTGCTGAACTAATACCCGTTTGGAATGGTTTTGCTTTCTCATCGCATCCTTAACGGTTGTGTTTGGTTACGGAGAAAAAGAATCCCAATTTCATGGGAGAGAGATAGTGAGAGTGAGAATTTAAATTTTAGTCTTAACTTTTAAGTTTACAAGAATAAAATTATTGAGAATTTCAATTTCATTTGGTATCTATGAGGATTGGAAGAGAATAATAAATAGTACAAAGATCAAAATGTTCATATTCATAATAATAATAATAATAATAATAATAATAATAATAATAATAATAATAATTATTATTATTATTATTATTATTATTATTAAATAACAAGTAAAATTATCTTTAAAATTTGGTAAAAATTTGTGTGAGTTCGTTTCATGGGTATTTGTCTGTGATGATTTGAGTTAAAATAAAATGTAATACTAATCATGAATAAAATGTAAATTATTTATATGGAAAAGAGTTACTTTTGAAAAAAAGAAAACATACTTTGTAATATTTTTATATTTTAATATGAAAGTGTTACATTTTTTTTCAAAAGTATTTCGGAGTGCATTTTTTTTATAAGTAATAAACACTTGTCAACATTATTTATATAAGGGAATGTGTAATATTTATGATAAAAAATATAATACTTTTATATTTTATTTAAAAGTATTACATTTTATCTTTTAAAGGTACTACACTTTTCTTTATAAATAACAAACACTTTATTTTTTATTAGTATTACATTTTCAATATAAGAATTATATTTCAATATTGATCCGACTTGACCTGACGTGACGGTTTAACACAAGTGTGAACCAAACTATAATGCAATGCAATTGTTTGGATACTTGTGTTAACATTACTTTTCTCCTAATAAAGTAATTATGCAATTAATAATTCAATAAAAAATAGCTCCGAAAATTATTTATATAGAAAGTCACTTTGGGGTTGGTGACAGTGCAATGAAGATCTCAATTAGTCCATAAAATGTACTGCACATATACGTGCACAAACTGATTTCAGTTTCGTGAGTGTATCTATTACACATATATACTAGTGCACGAAGATGTATACACTGATACACAGGCATATAAACGTACATAAAATTTGAAGATAAAAAAAATAATTTCATACATAGGAACGTATAAAATATGAAATTAAAAAAAAAAAAAGAGAAAATTGTACCTTAATGGTGGATAAGTCTATCATTTTATAATTTATAGGCCTAGAACATGGTAAGAAAAATAGACACTACATCTTAAGTTAACATACATACATACATACATATATATATATATACATATATATATATATATATATATATATATATATATATATATATATATATATATAGTAGGGTTCCAGTGAGAACATGTGTTTAGGCGAGAACATGAGAACACATTATGTGCATCCATATAATATTTTTTAATGGTATAGATTAGATTAAGTGTGTGTGAACGCGCATTAAATATGTGCAAACACACTTAATTGCGTTTGCACACATTTAATGCGCGTTTGCACACACTTAATCTAATCTAGACCATTAAAAAATATTAGATGGATGCACATGATTTGTTCTCACGTTCTCACCTAAGCAGGTGTTCTCATATATATATATATATATATATATATATATATATATATATATATATATATATATATATATATCTAATTTCAAATTATATATATATATTCATACATAAAATTTAAATTATATATATAAGAAAAAAATACTAAATAATTTGAAATTAGATTCACTAGTTTTTAACAATTCAATTATGAAAAAAAAAAAATCTAGGTGCTTTCCTAAATGCAATATAATAAATAATCGCATCAAATGCATTCATAAATAAATAATTATAGTTTATAAAATGAATAAACAATTTAAAATCAAATCTTTATCTTTATCTTTATATATAATAAAGCAGAATCTTTTGGCCACAAGAATTTGGCTCCAATTCCCGCCAACAAAATACAACGTCGTTTGGAGCCTGACTTTTGGGATGCATATGTTAATTATGAAATAGATTCATTGTAAATGACTGAGTTTAAAAGGAGTCTCTTCAACCTCTATGTAATCCTTGGAAGACGAAATGTTGTTATTAAACATCATGTCCCTTTGGGACTCTTTGGTATCCACAAGATTTGCATTAATTACATATTCTATAAATACCTCTTCTAATTGTAAAGAAACCTAGCAGTTCATTTGTAGTACAAACACTGTGCCCGATATTTATTATTTACACTATAGCTCCAAAGCTTCATCATCATTGTCCCTCTATACTTTCTGGGCAGTGAAGTGTATCCTATAAAAACCAGCAGTGCTATAAGAGTCCGTACATATGAAATACCAGAAAGGAGAGACCGCGAGACAATCAAATGTAAAGAATGCGTATTCCATATTCCAATAGGTAATTGTGAACATTGTTCTTTTTTTTTTTCTTTTTTTTTATTCAAGAAAATATATTCCTTTATAATATTGTTGTTCTAATTTTTCATAGTGTGCAAATATATACATGTTTCAAAACCTTTTATTCGAAGTACAGCAAAATGAGAGAAATATTCACATGTGTGTTCACATATGCATATAGATGCAAATAAAGGTAGAGTTCTGAGCACACCTTATTCAAGAGCTTCAAATCTACAACTACTTTTGACATATTTCCTGCAGGAAAATCAAATTCCGAGTAAAATGACCATCATTGGAAAGTGAAAATCCCCAGATAACAATATAACATCTCTTCAGATACTAAGACCTTCAGAGTTTTCACTTTTCAATGAGCATGGACACTGTGGTTGATTTGAAGGCTTTTTCAATGACCACATCTAAGAACTTTTTATATTTCAATTACAATCAAAGTATTAGAATATATTTAGTTTGTGATATGGGTCTTTTGTAGGGTAGGGTTTTGCTGTTAAAATGGAAAAGTGCATCCTTCACTGCTTCACTAATACATCTTTTGAAGCCTTCAAATATAAAATAAAAATGAGAGAAATATTCACAGGTGTGTTCATATATGCATATAGATCGTTCTAAGCACACCTTATTCAAGAGGTTCAAATCTACAACTACTTTTGACATACTTCTTGCAGAAGAATCAAATTGTGAGTAAATGACGATCAACATATATATTCTTGGAAAGAGAAAATGCCCAGACAACAATATAGCATCTCTTAAGATTCTAAGACCTTCAGAGTTTTCACTTTTCAATACGCATGGACACTGTAGTTGATTTGAAGGCTTTTTCAATGTCCACATTCTAAGAACTTTTTATATTTCAATTATAATCAAGTATTAGAATATATTTAGTTTGTGATATGGGTCTTTTGTAGGGTGGGGTTTTACTGTTAAAATGGAAAAGTGCATCAACTTCACTGCTTCACTAATACATCTTTTGAAGCCTTCAAATATAAAATAAAAATGTAAATTAAAAAAAAAAGCATAGAATAAGTGTTATTTTTTTAATGTTTGAATAATGAGTCCATTATAATAGATGAAGAGACTTACAATCACTACTTAAAATTTGACTAATTAAGAGTATTTATGTTCACTGAACCAATACTAAAGTATTAAACTTTGTATAGGTTGAGTATTGAACCTAATATTTGCTAATTAAAATCTGACTTTTAGTTACGAGTGTATTGTTAGCCATTTAATTTAATTGAGAATTTTGATCAGAATAAACAAAAAATTAAAAAAACTCAGTAACTAATACCTAGCTAATACACGTATAAATAAATAAATAAATAAATAAATAAATAAATAAATATATATATATATATATATATATATATATATATATATATATATATATATATATATATATATATATATATATATATATATATATTCAAAAATTACCAGATCTGTATGATAACTAAAGAGGAGATTTCCAACCGTCATGTTCCAGATCTCGGATTTCATCTACATCTATGGTCATAATCTGAACAATATTCCTTTAAAAATAAAAAACTAGATATGGAAAACATTGCTAAGATATTTCATACATATACTCGAAGTGAGCACAGTTTGGTAAATATATATAAACATAAATAGTTAGAAAATAGATATTTTTGTACAAAATAACTTAGCCGTTCCTCCGAAATGGGTTCTTCGCGGTTGACTCAAGCGAAATGTGTTCTTGTGAGATTCTGACGTAATAAAAACTAGAAAAAATACATCAAAGCTCTTTTGAGATAAAATCGATGTTCTTGGTGAGAATTGTTCGGCCATCTCTGTACATAGATCATGAGAGTGAGGGATAATCTAGGAGATGAGACAACAGGAAATGACGTAGTGGAGTGGGTTGTCGGTGGGTTATAGAGAATTTATAGGGGTGGGCCGGGTCAGGATATTGGACTGTAATTATTATGGGCCATATACAACAAAATAATAGGACTTGGGCTCATGTATACTTATATATATGTACATACAAATAAATAAATAATATATATATATATATATATATATATATATATATATATATATATATATATATATATATGTATATATAATTTTTAAAAGAACTTTGGTTAATATTTTGTGTTGTATTTCTAACACACGATATATATGTGTTTCAATGATTTACAATAACATATTTTAATTAAATACTTTATATATACCTCATATAATAATTATTCAATTATTAAACTGCTTATTTAACATCTTTATAATTAAACTTTTTTAACTAAAAATATCGATTGTAATTAATGTAACACAATATTATATTTTTTTTATATAATTCTTATAATATTTTATTAACACAATATAACATGCAATTCACAAGTTATTTTCCATGCATCGCACGGGTCAATTACTAGTAAGCTTACAAACCATAATATTGTTATCATAATAAATAATAAATTAATTATTAAGAAAAATTTATAAAACAAATTAAAACTTATGTAGATCTAAAAATATTTTTGATTGGAGGAAAAAAATTAAAATACTTCAAAATGCAATAAAAAAATATTGATAACAAAACATGAAAT